ACTGTTTGACACGAAAGGCAAAAGTATGTTCATACATTACTTATATGCACTGAAACCAATGTCCATTTCTTAATCTGTATAATAAGTTTTACAAGAGCTGATTAATAAAAGTAATGATTATGGGGGAGCCGTTATCGAGTGAACTAAGAAGGTTGAAGGTTTCACCACTGAGTATAAGACCTTTGGCGACCACGCGGTTAACAAAAATATGAAGGACATCTCTAATAGGTGTACCTGGAATTAATTTGGACTTAAAACAAGGCCATTCTCATAATATAATAAAGTGCGGTATAGAAGTCACTTGTTTTTTTGTAACCGCAGTAAGCAGATATGTTGAGAAAATTAAAAAGAAAATAAAAGACTTATAACTTTTAAAGTTATTGAAATTCATACCGTAACTAGTTGGATTTAAAATCTAATTTATGTCAAAGAGTAATATAAGCATTAATTATGTCCACTGCCTCATAAAATAGGGAAAAGTATTATTAAAATTCATGTTCAACACGCATGGAGGTGTCAAGAATTCCGCGCGTACCACGTCGGTGCCATTTCCACTTAAGTCGGACACTCCAGACAAAATATAAAAAGAAACCCGAATACGTTAGATTTAAGAATACTTAGAAAAGAAACTAAAAAAATCTTGATTACGTTTGTTGTCTGGCAACGACAACATCTTATGATTCTGTAGGCTAGTTCTGTTTCTTCCAAAATCTTGTAACGCAGAAGAATCATGGCATCCTCAGCAGCAGAACTTATTCATTAGTAATGCCGAATAATTACGATTCTTAAGTCACGTAGGATGAGAGACAGATTTCAAAGAAGCGTCAGGTAGAAACCATAGAAACCGAAACATTATGTGATTATCTTCCCTTATTTATTGAGGTAGTCACTATTCTTGAGGCTTCTGCGAGGCATCAGTGCAAGCAGAACAGAAATTTTATTAACAACAAAGCGCGATGGTAAGTTCCGAGTCTACCTTCATTTTCTTAAAAAATCTGACTGAAGAAGGATATCATTGTGCATAAAAAGGAACATTACCGGGTCTAGGATCCCAGCCATAGGCACGGAGACGGCATCCTCGCCACCTGCCGCCACCAGCTTCTCCAAAACCTTGAGCGTCTGCTCCACGGCTGGCCATTCTCCCTTCTGCGCCAGCATAAGGATCTTAGCAGCCACCTCCCTGATGTTGATCCCCGCACTTGGAGGCTTAACCACGTTCTCCGTCCCATTGCTCTCCTTAACTTCCTTTTTATCACCATTGTTGGAAGAAGTCTCATCTTTAACGTCATCTGCGGCCTTAGCCGGCGGATTCTTGTCTTCATCAGCATTTTTCTTAGGAGGGCCCTTGCCTCCCTTCTTGCCGCCGGCGGCCTGAGACATAGTCACATAACAGTATCACATTTACGAGGCACTACACAAGGTATCACGAACGGCCATGGCTCGAGCTCTCCGAGTATGTTATTCGCTGGGCGGGCGGAGCATGACTGCGGCACGATTGCGTAGCGCCAGCCGATTTCTTGCATGCTTCAAGTAAATAAAGGCGACGGTGCGCCCGGCTGGATTTACAAACAAACTCCCACGAGCGATGTCTCAGAGCGTCCCATGCATTGACCCATTTATGGCATCACCATTGATCCCCACTTTTTGATAAACTCCCGGTTTTTCTTTGTTAACTTTTTATGAACCCTTCCAAGACAATCTCGTAATTACGATAGTAAATTGCAGTTAACAGGAATATTTAATCATTGAAATAGTATTTTTTGTTGCAGTATCTACGATGGAAAAAGCTCCAGTAACACACATGTAGCAAGGTTCAGATCTGTACAAGTTTTTAGTATTTAAAAAACTGCTAATGTCGAACAGACAGACAAATAAAACATAATTATGTATGAGTAAGAGTTTCTCTTTTTATTTTGTTAAAGAAAGTAAGTTCGTATTTAATTTCGCTAATAGTCTTTATTTATTATTTTTTAATCTTTTAGCGAAACGTGGGTTCAATATTCTGTGTAGTGGCATTGTTCAACTGTAACCCACTATGATATGATACACTCGATATGTCAAAGGTGTTGCAATTAAGTAATGAAATTAAATAGCAAAGTCAGTGCCCGATGACTTGACAGTTTTAGCGTTTGAATCCGCCCTACAAAGCATCAGGGTACACCAATACATTTGCTGTTTTAATTTAATTCGTAATTTTCATCAAACGGTACTTTCAGAGTACAGTAAGGATTTATTTTCATAATAAAGTTGAGAATAAGGTTAATGCGTCGTAATTATGAAATATATCCATATATATAGCAAAGGATCACCTAGATCTTTCACCTCGCGACCTTGTTAGAGAGAACAGGAAGGCGGAAAATACATTTGTAACGCATTTTCACCTACCAAGATCTGTATCGTGGCCTTAGGAGGTCGGCTAAATTTGCATGTTTCGTCACAGAGGGTAGAGGGGTGTGCTGGGCGGGGGAGGGGTGGCGTCGCGTGCGCCCCACGCGCCACTTCCGGTGCGGGGCGGGTGGCGGGGCGCGGGGTGCGCGGCCGGCTCGCGGCCTCGATTCAGGCATCGCCTCGCCAAGATCAGATACCAAAAAGAATACAAAGACTTGACCGTGGTCCGTTATGTTACGTATAATTTGTATAGTAATTTATACAAGGTGTCCTTATGTAAGTGCAAAATATGGAGCTCTATTACACTTTGGGTTAACTAAGGAGGTATCATTGTTTGGTGAGGTGTTTTTATTTTTGAATACACTTGTTATGTGGTCTTTCAGTAGTTGACCTGACTATTGCTTCACTAATATGCACTCATTTACCAATACTTACGCTTTAACCCCATTGAGTAAACTAGCCGATACACGGTTAGCGCAGTGCCAGGGTGATTGGCAGCGCAACGTGATGTAGGTTCGATACGTGCGCTATATATACCTATATATACAACTTACGCATATTTCTTGTAGATATACGCACTCATATTAACATTGCACTCCCAAAAGAATAATAAGCTATAAAGTTATTTTTAATTATATTTTATTTTTATTTTTCCTGGCGGGCTCCGTTTCAACCTTTTACTTTTGTATAAATAAGATCACATGCTTTTAAACATATTTAGGTCCCTTAACTTACATTCCTCCTGTTCTGTAATTGGTCGAATGAATTAACATGCATGTTTCAGAAACCACAGATTATTAATCATTTAAGCACAATCGTTATCAAGTATTATAATTGCTAACATTGCACTTAGATTCAGTTTGATTAAATAATTAACTGGTACGTCTTTTATTACAATGCAAAATGTTTAATTTAAAAATGGTGTTAATGCTAGAGTAGGATGCATGTGACCAACCCTGTTCTTTTAGCGGGTAAAAAACGACTAAGGACATGGTATACAAATGTGGTAGGGAGGGGCTCCCCTATGTTTAGATTAACATATTATGAGAAATATTTAGTATTCTTTTGATACACGACTGCACGGTTGACGCGGTAACTGGGTAATCGGCTGCCGTGCAACGTGTCGCGAGTTCGATTCCTGAACGGAACAACTCTTTGTGTGATCTACTAATTGTTGTTCCGCGTTTTTGTTTACATACAGTCAGTGTCGTCGGTTAAGGGAAGGGGATTGATTTCATGCTAAAGAAAGTGCATTTAAAAATCTGCCAATTTCATTGTGGTTTGCAACAATGGCAAGGTTGTGAAGGGGTCCGTTTCTACCCCCCGATGATCTACCACACCATGCAATTTCGCAAGTCCATTTTTCTTCTCATTATCAGATTAATATGGGTCATAATTATACACTATCAGCATCTATCACGCTCGAGCACAAAAACAAAAGTTACACTTAATAATTTTGGAGAGTTATTGATTCCCCTGCCCCTACCGAAGGAAGCAAATGTCATTAAACCATTTTTCTTTCTATCACCGAATCTTCAAAATCTAGTTAGTCCATAAGACGCTTGAATTACACATTTAGTATCCTGGGCTCCCCTACTATAACAGAGATTAGGCAGCAGAGCTTTTTTTTAGAGATGTGAAAATAATTTTAGATCGCCACTTGAAACATTGACATTTTGTCAGAGAACACAGGGTAGTATTTGTTGTGGAGGACAAATCATCAAACGATTCATTTCAACAAAGACTGTCTAAAAACACCCCCGTTCCTTCTCCTGCTCTAAGCCGATAGAACTTTTGCTAATGCTCCTACGAACTCACAGGATAAATTGGCTTCCCGGCCGGCGTTATGAAACAGGAGAAGCAACGGAGATGTGTATATTTGCGGTAGTCAATAAGAGGGTGATAAGATTCATACGAGAATTATTTCATGACTAAAATTCCCCTTCAAAAAGAGATAGGTAGGACTGCCATGGTGACAAATATATGTACCAATATTAGTAGCCCCGGCTTCGCGCGGCTGATATTGAATTTCTCCTTTGTTGTAAGTTTGTAAGTTAGGATGTAGGCGGTAATCTTTGGAACCGCCCGTTGGATTGCCAAAATTCTTTCACTGATAGATAGCTACAATGTTCCTGAGTGCTATAGGCTATAAAACATCACGCTACGATCAAATGGAGCCGGCAGCGGGTAAAACCGCGTGAGAGTAACTAGTGGATGATATATACAATCTTCCCTTTGCTTTTCAATGACTCTATCCATCAAAAACAAGCGCATCAAAATCTGTTACATAGTTTTAAAGATTTAAGCATACATAGAGATAGGACAGCGAATTCGACTTTGTTTTATATTATGTAGTGATTCGACTCCACGTCGTCGTTTCCACAAGGCTTTCAATGACGGAGTAATATAACAAAGCAAAAACCACTCTTGCGCATACAATCCTCACGTACATATACGTTGACGAAATCAACCTGACACTCCTTTCAAAAATAACGCGATAAAATATAATTAATATAAATTCCTTGATAAAACATTATACAAATGTAAATATAATTTATATAGATAACTGCCATATTTAAATATTATCATCTGTTATGATAAGTAGCTGTTTATTATGATAATACGTAAGCGTACTTGTGTGCTAATCAGTTCGTTACTGAGTTTCGAACGGTGTGGTCGTGTGTGTGATTAAAATGTGGAAAAGTGTGGTCAACTCTACAAGACTTCGTGGTATTGCTAATAAAAGGTATTTTGGTATTTATTGCTTGTTTATTATAAGATTGATTTTTGATTGTTTATGAGTAAAATCAGTAATTAGTTTTCTATCATATGTTATGTAGGTGCATAGTTCGTACGATTTGTTTGTTTGTGCAAGAATGCAGAGGAACCGGTATTTGTAACACCGGGCAAGTAGGCTTATATCTCAATGTTATGTTTTTTTTTGTTAAATCATAAGCTTACTATTCTCACCTACTGTTGGCATACGTTCTATGAGGAGATTCGATTTTAGTGTCGTACCAAGTTCTATTACATTTAGCTGGTTTCAAAAGAAGTGACGAAACGTTATTACATTTGAAACGTACTGTTCGCGTTTGAAGAATTTGACGCGGATTGACTTATATTTTAACGTACCTAATGTATTTTTATTTCATTCAAATGTCAATCAAAATTGTATTGAACAGTGTTATAATTAAATCAAGGAAGCAAAATAAAACCTCCTTGTTTTTTGTTTGTTTGTTTCTTCTTTTTTTATTGAACTTTGCCCCACATTACGATTCTCTCCTAAGTTGTGGGTACGTTTATAGAAATACCATTTCACATAAACATCACACCCAGCCCCGAAACAACTATTTGTGAATCACACAAAGAGTTATTCCGTGCGGGAATTGAACCCGCGACACGTTGCGTAGCAGCTATTTGCCCAGCTACCGCGCCAACAGTGCAGACAGTGCAATTGCCTGCAGATTGAAACGACAAATTAATGGAAATTATGGATTAATTGACTAGAGTGTGCTTGGAACTAGTGAAGGCTAAATATATATAAAAAAAAACAAATGACTGTTTATGGAACCTCATTCCGACTTTACCGTATTTCTTGATTTTTTAATTTGACAATTAGGTGTTATCTTGTGTATGTCATTCGAGAGTTTTTGTAATTTTAATGTATTGTTTATACGGCGAGGGAATGCAAGTGTTGAGTTGTATTTCGTTGAACATCCACCCTTACCTTCCTTCGACATATACATATAACATATTTTAATATGTGACTTGTTCTATATTATATGTGACGTGTGTGTGTGTTATTATTTTATATTAGATGTGACTTACAAGTGGTCTCAAGTGGGTGTCGTAATATAATTATGTGCACATTTAGTGGTAGGAATGATGTTTATGCAGACAATTTCGTTTAAACGTTTCCCCCACATTAGCAGTTTCTTCTGTTTCTTAGGTACTTTACAAACATACAAATTCATTTTCGACTGCACGATTGGCGCAGTGGCTGGGCAACTGGCTGCTGTCCAACGTGTCGCGGGTTCCATTCCCGCACGGAACAACACTTTGTGTGATCCACAAATTGTTGTTTCGGGTCTGGGTGTGTTGTGTATGTGAATTAGTATGTTTGTAAACGCATCCACGACATAGGAGAAAATTCTAGAGTGGGGCAACGTTTTTTTTTTTTAAAAAAAAATTCATACAGACTGGTTCCGTGGGGGAATCGAGCCTTCGACAAGTGACACGGGAGTCGACTGTCTAGCCACCATGTCAACTGTGTAGTCATTTCAGTTATATAAAATGTAATGATTTGATATCATATGAGGATTTATGTCGATATAGTGCCCAACCCATTATTGTATATGGGTACCTACTTCTGTTTTTTGTTTAGTCCAGTAAGGATGACAATTATTAAAAAAAACATCAAAACAAATATAAGTCTATTAAAGTTTACAAGGTTATTAAATGGAATTTGTTGAAAATTATTTATTTTATTTATTGAAAAGAAAAAAAAAAAAGAAAAGAGAATTTGAATCCTCTCGTATCAAAGATTTATATTACAATTTGTAAGCTGATTAAAATTGAAAAGCCAGTACTGAAACCAGATAGTAACACACTGTTGTTTTACTTATAAACAAACGAATTTGTTTGCCAAAACGTACTCAACTTTTATGTAAGGAACCCAACTCACAACAACTTGTGGCGCGGTAATTGAGGACAAACCAGTAAGCAACAGATTAATTTAAATTATGTATGTACAGAATCACTACACGTGTATCAGATATCACTTGCGTGTAGATACACGCAAAAACTATGATAGTCTCTTAATTTATCCATCCTTGGACAAAGGTTTTAATTGTGGGACAGCCATGCTTCGGCTCGACAGGGTCATCTCGACCGAAAAGATATCAAGGACTAACAGAAACCCGTCGTGAAACAGCCACAGCGTTGTGTTCCGATGTGTGAAAAAGATTTAAAAAAAAAATTAAAAATACCACCTTTTACAATTATCTTATTCATTCAATTCAATTATCTGAACCAATTCTGACTGGGCTTTTATTGGCTAACTAGCTACTATCGCGCGGTTTCACCCGCTGCTAGGCTCCATTTGATCGTAGGGTGATGTTTTATAGCCTATAGCAATCAGGAACATTGTAGCTATCTATCAGTGAAAGAATTTTGGCAATCCGACCAGCGGTTCCAAAGATTACCCCCTATATACAAACTTACTACTTACTTTGGGATGTAAGGGGGCGAACTTCCATCTTTCGCCCCAAGCCAACCTCACCTGCACGCGGTGCATCCTGCTGGTCAACGAACGAGGCTCTGGCGACCGACCGACGGCGGTATATCCGTCCCTTACAAACAGGCGAAATTAAGTACCGCAGGCCGGTGACGGGCAGCAGCGTTACCGGTGCGAAAAGTTTCGCCCTGCGATCGCCAACCCGCCTGCCCAGCGTGGCGATTATGGGCAATACCTCCTATGGGCAAAAAACGAAAGCCACGGCCCCCAGTTCCCGGCAGCCCCACTATTCCTGGTCATGGTGGCGACCATGGTAACGGTGGGGTAGGGGGTGCTAAGAATCTCCGGGCTACGGGAGGCCACCACAACAGACTGACCCTGGCGACGTACAACGGACGCACGCTACGGCTTGACTCGCATCTAGCGCAACTAGAGGTGGAACTTGGGAAGATCAGGTGGCACATACTAGGGTTATGTGAAGTCCGAAGAGAGGGGGAGGACACGATAACTCTCAAATCAGGCCACCTGATGTACTTCCGTGAGGGAGACCAAAAATCCCAAGGTGGCGTTGGGTTTCTGGTTAACAAGTCCCTATCTAACAATGTTGTGGAAATGTCGAGTGTGTCGAACAGGGTGGCGTACCTCATTATAAAGCTCACCGAGAGGTATAGCCTTAAGGTGGTCCAAGTGTACGCACCGACCTCGGCACACTCCGATGATGAGGTGGAGGAGATGTTCGATGATATATCGAGGGCCCTCCACTCCACCACTAGGACTCACTTCAACATTGTTATGGGGGACTTTAACGCCAAAGTGGGAGTACAAAATTGCAGTGAATCGGTAGTAGGATCCCATGGGTATGGAAACAGGAATCATAGGGGGCAAATGCTCGTCAATTTCCTCGAACGGGAGGGGATGTTCTTAATGAATTCATTCTTTAAGAAGCAGCCCCAAAGGAAGTGGACGTGGCAAAGCCCCGACACTATGACAAAGAACGAGATCGACTTCATCATGGCGGACAAAAGGCACATATTCAGAGACGTCTCCGTGATTAATAGGTTTAATACCGGTAGCGATCACCGACTCGTCCGAGGCTCTCTGAATATCGACTTCAGAGCCGAACGAGTCCGCTTGATGAAGGCCAGGCTCCGACCAACCCTGTTTCAAATCAAAATGGGATCTGAAGCGTTTCAGTTAAACCTGGAGAACCGATTTGCTGCCCTGGAAACCACAACCGACGTTAACCGGAACCTTGAAAACGTGGTTCGAGTTCTCAGGGAAGAAGGTACGAGATTTTGTGAAATGCAGCGTAAGGGCAAGAAGTCGAAGCTTTCGGAAGAGACTTTAGGGCTTATGAAGAGACGACGTGAAAACCCACCCGTCACTTCGTCAGAGAAGCGGGCTCTAAACCGAGAGATTAGCAAACACGTGCGACACGATCTCCGGTGCTCGAATACCCTTGCAATCGAGAGAGCGATCGAGCAAAACCGGGGGCCAAAAGTGTTCGTACAATCTCTTGGAAGAAGCCACCTGACGAAGTTGACCACAGCAAGTGGAGAAGTCGTTGTCTCGAAGCCGGCAGTTCTTTCGGAAGTAGAAAACTTCTACGGCCGGTTATACGCTTCGCATGCATCTCGACCTGACCCCGGAAATGAGGACTCTAGAGCCACTTTAATACGCCATTACACCGAAGACCTGCCAGAAGTCAGTATTGACGAAATCGAGATCGCTCTTGGACAGCTTAAAAATGGAAAAGCCCCTGGAGAGGATGGTGTTACGACAGAGCTTCTAAAAGCAGGCAGCAAACCGGTACTCAGGGAGCTGCAAAAGCTATTTAACGCTGTCCTGTTTGAAGGGAGAACTCCAGAGGCGTGGAGTCGGAGTGTGGTCGTCTTATTCTTCAAAAAGGGTGACAAAACCCTACTGAAGAATTATCGACCCATTTCCCTTTTAAGCCACGTCTATAAGCTGTTCTCGAGAGTGATCACGAACCGCCTTGCGCGAAGACTTGACGAATTCCAACCACCGGAGCAGGCTGGGTTTCGGAGCGGATACGGCACCATAGACCACATCCACACAGTGCGGCAGATTATACAGAAGACTGAGGAGTATAATCAGCCCCTGTGCCTAGCATTTGTGGACTATGAGAAAGCCTTTGACTCGGTCGAAATCTGGGCTGTTCTGGAGTCCCTGCAGCGATGCCAAGTAGATTGGCGATACATCCAAGTGATGAGATGTCTCTACGAGGCCGCCACCATGTCCGTCCAAGTACAGGATCAGCAAACAAGGCCGATACCGTTGCATCGAGGTGTGAGACAAGGGGATGTTATCTCCCCGAAATTGTTCACAAATGCAATGGAGGATATGTTCAAGACGCTGAACTGGAAAGGACGCGGCATCAACATAAATGGCGAGTACATCTCTCACTTGCGATTTGCAGACGACATCGTCATCGTAGCAGAAACGCTGCAGGACCTACAACGGATGCTGAATGACCTGGCTGACTCTTC